TATAATCCCTTCGTCAGTATGATCCGATCAATTACGAGATATGGAGTTGTGTCAATCTCGATCATCGATCATATCTTTCACTCCACTATTAAGTCAATATAAATCGAAAACTCCTTTTCGACTTATGAGAACACCTTGGCCAAGGATTTGATCATTGACTTAATTGGATGAAACGCAGATCATAATCTCCTACTATCTAAGAGTGACGAATCCTTTATTGATCAATCACAACCTTCATACGATTCTTGACGTACCCGAACGATGTCGTATTAGCGGCCCTTTTCAGAGCAACATCCAACACCGCCAAAGTATGACTGTCCTCATATAAGGTACCATGACGACCTCAAGTCAAAGGACCAATTTCACTACCGAACGTTAGAGATTAACCACCGACACTCAGATAGTTATCCATGTGGAATCTCTCGACGGGTCTCCAATGTTTCATTCTATAACAAACATCCACGTGTTCATTCAAGTGTCACCACACTTTAACTTGTGAGATCAGCTACTTACTTCACAAGTAAGAAATGCCATACGTGATGGTCTATCCGTAATAACGATATCCGTATCTCGTTATTACTTACGACCACGGATGATTTAAGATTCAATCAGATGTAATTTGTATCTCACAATCACAACTCCTTGTGATTAACAAATTACAAATATTTGAATCTACGGACTCTATTATTTATTTAATTGTCTATTAATTAAATAATAGATCTGCCATTTAATTGCATTAATTAATTATATATAAAAGTATTTATGTCCAAAGTTGATTGGACCTAGGGCATAATACTTACACCAACAACTTGAAAAGGTTCAGTTAAACTCCATTTCTTCATTGAATATAGAAACAGAAGGAGGATCGGGTTGGACCAGACTCGGGATGACGTTAAAGCTTTTGGCCGTGGACATGATTCCAAAGAACTGTTTAGTTAATAATCGTTGATGGAAAAAATGTGAGCGTTGAGCTATCTTTGCTGGTATACTCTCATTGGGCATGTTTGACATATTTCAAAGACAGGAAATGCAAAAATTAAATGAGTGGAGCGACTCGAAGAAAAATGAGGCTTACTAGGTTAAAATGACACTCGGCCAATTTCAAGATCATAAGATCTTCAAACTCTCTATGTTCATTCACTCAAAGTGGTACCTTTTATGTGTTTGGTGATAAGTATTCACAAATTTATTAGTCGAGTTCAACAAACTGAACTTGCATATCATACTACATTAATTTATGAATGTCATTTTTAGTCACTTATGATTCTATTTTTGCACATAATCAAATGAGTATATGTTCGAAGTGGTGCACCTCCACCACGCCAATCCAACATTATGGGCTCTCAAGAATCAAGATCCCCACTACTATGTGTTGAGTGAAATTTTGTAAAGATGACTGCTTCTCTCAATAAAGCAAACATACAGATAAAATGTTTTTCGTGGATTGTGATTTACAAATCATCTTTGTTACTTTCTCTTACTTTCAAGATTTTTTAGTTTTCTTTATCATTCCAAGGTTTCATTAATGCCTTTTTTTATTAACATTTTGTCTCTCTAATGCAGCCTTTTGTATATTTAATTTCCATCATGTTGCTCGATTTTTATATGGAATTCAAATTAGAATCACGATGAGAAAGGTTGTTGTAAGTTGAAAATTATCATAAAATTCTATCACATCTTATGATCGTGAATCTTTATGGCTGCTAAGGGTTCATTCTTTAACAATGATATGTAGTTAGTGACGAAAAATTACTTATACCGTCGACCTTAAATTTATTGTGAATTCCTTGAGAAAATTTTTGGATGATCTCAAAAATATTTCTCCCCCCTAATATCACAAATGAAATTAGTTGATTTTGTGCTAAAAACTAGGTGTTTAATGCTGTTCAGATTTTCAAATGCACTTTAAAGAATTATGATAGCTCCATGTGATGGTAGACATTGAAAAGTGGTTTGTCTTGGTCCCAACATCGTCTTATTTATTAGAATTTTGGCTTAACTGCAGTAGGGTTAGGTTAGTGACAACTCATTTTGCTTAGCCATGCGCATGGCTTAATGATGAAGATAATGATGAAAAATAATATCAAAAAAATGATAAACACCACACCAATCATACCAAGAAAGCATTAACAAAGAATTTGAGCTTCAATGGTGAATTACACCATTTTTTATACGTAACACTGAATAACATTAAACATAAATGAGATAACATATGAGATTTGTGCAAAATATCTGTCAAGGGAGACGACGTAAAGATATGAATACAACAATCAAGAAAAGGACACAGAGAAGAAGAAACCATGTGAACTTGACCTCATCAGAGGTAAATCTCAGTGAAACAAGTTAAAGATTCAAAAAATGCATTTAAAGAATAATATAATTTCAAGCTAAAGACATGGGAGGCCTAATAATAATTAGAGAGACGTCATCTTATTCCACATTATTCAATTCCGTTCTTCTGACTGTTTTTCTTACTTCATTGTGGCTTTCTCTTTGTGTTTGGAAGACATTTTTATTTAAAAACGCATTTTTGAATAGTAAATTGATATAAAATGTGTGATTGAAAAATAAGAAAAAATTTCTGATTTACGTGTAATATTATTTTAATAAAGAATGTGTAGTTACAAAAAAGAAAGAGAGAAAAATACATTTTAAAAAAAATGGATACCAAATGGAGCCTTAGTTTCTGCTTTCACTTTCTGCTCTAAAGTATACGCATCACCACTTAGATTATTTGCTTGGCAGTGGTGGCTAAGAATCTTGAAAACCCTCAGAAAATCAATTTACTTTTGATTTGCCTAGATGTGTTATGATCTGTAACAGTGGTGCATGCTCAAGTGGGAAAGCCCTTCTGTGATTGGACTACTCTTAAATTCAAGATTTGCCCTTTGCCAGGCGGGCTTTTCATCTTTCAGTAAACAGTAAACACCAAATGGAATGGTGAAGAATGTTTCACAATAGATCTAGCAACCAACCGCACAGAAGCTATTATTCATACAATGAAGAAGAAAAAAAAAGGAGAGAATCATCATAAGTTAAATGGCTTGTTAGACCAACATGAAGCGAAATTGAAAGGATAACAGTAAGTGATAATATCCAACAAGGTCCCAAATTAGAACCCGGAGAAAAGGAATCCGGTAAACGATTGAGACTTGGAGAAGGAACTAAAACATGGAACTAGAGTTCAAAAATTTACGAAAACAACATAAGCAAAAGAATTATAGAAATAACTGAATTCTCCATTTTAAATGAACCAAACCGGATTCTTCTTCGCCGGATAAGCCAATGTGAATTCATCAACTCCGGACATCTACGAGTTAGTTGAAGTCATCCTGACTCGTCCTGACCTTCCGAAGGGCATCTAATTAGCTCCAATATGTTAACCACTTCGGCCATGACTGGCCTGTTTGAAGGCACTTGCGATGTGCAGATTAATCCTAACTTCATCACTGGAATTGCCTCCTCAGCCGGAAACTTCCCTTGCAGCCTAGCATCAACACAATCCTCTACCTTGCCATCTTCCAGTGCTCCTCTGACCATGTCACAAAGCACTACTACATCATCCTCCATGTACTCAACAGGTCTCTTCCCAGTAACTATCTCAAGAGCCAAAACCCCAAAACCGTACACATCACATTTCTCTGTTATCTTAACAGTTCTGCATGCAAATTCAGGTGCCATATAACCGAGGGCACTCTGAATCTTGCTGCTCAAAACATAACGATCCAACATCGGTAACAACCTGGCTAAACCATAATCCGCAATCTTAGGTTCACCAGAGCTGTCAATCAAGATGTTGCTTGATTTTAAGTTGTAGTGGATTATGTTCATTTGGTGCAAATGAGCCAAGCCTTTAGCTGCACCCAGAATAATATTGAACCTCTCGTTCCAATGGAGAGTTTTCCCACCGGATCCTTCATGGAGGTGCTTGTACAAATCTCCACCAGAGACAAATTCATATATAAGAAGCTGTAGTGATGGAGTCCAGTAATAACCTTCAAGTGCCACAAGATTAGCATGACAGACTTTCCCTAAGTTTTTAACTTCCCTTTCAAAATCTTCTTGGGACTTGACAAGACTTGAAACAGTGAGTTTCTTAATGGCAACAGAACGTCCATCTTTAAGCATAGTCTGGTAGACAGCTCCGAATCCTCCACGCCCAAGTTCACAATCCTTGTTAAGAAGAGCATGTGCCCCAGTACTAAAGTCAGGATCGCCTGAAAACATGACAAGCTTCCCAGAATTGCCATCTGTGGTAGGTGACTGGCTAAAGTCGTCGCCACCAGAAAAGGTAAGGGCTGCTGCCGAGCGAGATGTGGAGGCACGTACATGAAGATTAAGCACGGTGATTGCAATGACACCAATGAAAATCGAAGCAGCTGCACCAATTGCAATGAGGGCGGAAATGCTTAGGATTTTCTTTCCACGATGAAAGCTTTGGGAGATTGTACCCGGAGTGGCATCCGTTGAGTTGGGATTTAGCACAATTGGCTTTGGAAGGACTGTAGGGCAACTTCTGTTGACTGGTGCCCCACAAAGGGATGGATTTTCAGAGACTGAAGAGGGAGCTATGGTGTTAAAAAAGCCACCAGCAGGTAATTCACCATTTAGCTGGTTGTGTGAAATGTTAAACGACTGCAGGTCACCATTTTTTATACGTAACACTGAATAACATTAAACATAAATGAGATAACATATGAGATTTGTGCAAAATATTTGTCAAGGGAGACGACGTAAAGATATGAATACAACAATCAAGAAAAGGACACAGAGAAGAAGAAACCATGTGAACTTGACCTCTTCAGTGGTAAATCTCAGTGAAACAAGTTAAAGATTCAAAAGATGCATTTAAAGAATAATATAATTTCAAGCTAAAGACATGGGAGGCCTAATTAATAATTAGAGAGACATCATCTTATTCCGCATTATTCAATTCCGTTCTTCTGACTGTTTTTCTTACTTTATTGTGGCTTTCTCTATTCCCTTTAGTTTCTGCTTTCACTTTCTGCTCTAAAGTATATGCATCACCACTTAGATTATTTGCTTGGCAATGGCGGCCAAGAATCTTGAAAACCCTCAGAAAATCAATTTACTTTTGATCTGCCTAGATGTGTTATGATCTGTAACAGTGGTGCATGCTCAAGTGGGAGAGCCCTTCTGTGATTGGACTATTCTTAAATTCAAGATTTGCCCTTTGCCAGGCGGGCTTTTCATCTTTCAGTAAACAGTAAACACCAAATGGAATGGTGAAGAATGTTTCACAATAGATCTAGCAACCAACCGCACAGACGCTATTATTCATACAATGAAGAAGAAAAAAAAAAGAGAGAATCATCTTAAGTTAAATGGCTTGTTAGACCAACATGAAGCGAAATTGAAAGGATAACAGTAAGTGATAATATCCAACAGGGTCCCAAATTAGAACCCGGAGAAAAGGAATCCGGTAAACGATTGAGACTTGGAGAAGGAACTAAAACATGGAACTAGAGTTCAAAAATTTACGAAAACAACATAAGCAAAAGAATTATAGAAATAACTGAATTCTCCATTTTAAATGAACCAAACCGGATTCTTCTTCGCCGGATAAGCCAATGTGAATTCATCAACTCCGGACATCTACGAGTTAGTTGAAGTCATCCTGACTCGTCCTGACCTTCCGAAGGGCATCTAATTAGCTCCAATATGTTAACCACTTCGGCCATGACTGGCCTGTTTGAAGGCACTTGCGATGTGCAGATTAATCCTAACTTCATCACTGGAATTGCCTCCTCGGCCGGAAACTTCCCTTGCAGCCTAGCATCAACACAATCCTCTACCTTGCCATCTTCCAGTGCTCCTCTGACCATGTCACAAAGCACTACTACATCATCCTCCATGTACTCAACAGGTCTCTTCCCAGTAACTATCTCAAGAGCCAAAACCCCAAAACCGTACACATCACATTTCTCTGTTATCTTAACAGTTCTGCATGCAAATTCAGGTGCCATATAACCGAGGGCACTCTGAATCTTGCTGCTCAAAACATAACGATCCAACATCGGTAACAACCTGGCTAAACCATAATCCGCAATCTTAGGTTCACCAGAGCTGTCAATCAAGATGTTGCTTGATTTTAAGTTGTAGTGGATTATGTTCATTTGGTGCAAATGAGCCAAGCCTTTAGCTGCACCCAGAATAATATTGAACCTTTCGTTCCAATGGAGAGTTTTCCCAGCAGATCTTTCATGGAGGTGCTTGTACAAATCTCCACCAGAGACAAATTCATATATAAGAAGCTGTAGTGATGGAGTCCAGTAATAACCTTCAAGTGCCACAAGATTAGCATGACAGACTTTCCCTAAGTTTTTAACTTCCCTTTCAAAATCTTCTTGGGACTTGACAAGACTTGAAACAGTGAGTTTCTTAATGGCAACAGAACGTCCATCTTTAAGCATAGTCTGGTAGACAGCTCCGAATCCTCCACGCCCAAGTTCACAATCCTTGTTAAGAAGAGCATGTGCCCCAGTGCTAAAGTCAGGATCGCCTGAAAACATGACAAGCTTCCCAGAATTGCCATCTGTGGTAGGTGACTGGCTAAAGTCGTCGCCACCAGAAAAGGTAAGGGCTGCTGCCGAGCGAGATGTGGAGGCACGTACACGAAGATTAAGCACGGTGATTGCAATGACACCAATGAAAATCGAAGCAGCTGCACCAATTGCAATGAGGGCGGAAATGCTTAGGATTTTCTTTCCACGATGAAAGCTTTGGGAGATTGTACCCGGAGTGGCATCCGTTGAGTTGGGATTTAGCACAATTGGCTTTGGAAGGACTGTAGGGCAACTTCTGTTGACTGGTGCCCCACAAAGGGATGGATTTTCAGAGACGGAAGAGGGAGCTATGGTGTTAAAAAAGCCACCAGCAGGTAATTCACCATTTAGCTGGTTGTGTGAAATGTTAAACGACTGCAGGTGGACAAGATTTACCAATTGCTTTGGTAGAGTTCCTGTAAGCTGGTTAAAAGAAAAGTCGACAATCTGAATGTTGGCAAGTTTTGAAAGGGATGTAGGAATGGAGCCACTTATTTCATTGTGTGCTAGAGACCTGACAAATTCAGAAAAAACCAAAAAGAGCTCAGTTGGAATGGCAGTGCAAAATAAGGGGTAGCCCAAAATTATAGACTAATCAACTGTTCAGAAAGAGTATTTTGATGCAGTTGTTTTCTTCTGTGGAAAACCACCTGTTATCCAAATTACATAATAGATTACAAATAAAAATTGACCCATCAAAAACTCAAGGCACTTAATTTTACAGGAATCGACATGAATCAAAACCAACCAGTCAGAATATCTTCTAAATTAAGAAATTCATTAAGCAATTAAAAATTTCACAAGAGGGTGACTAAGAACCTTAACCAATTTGAGGCAAATGATGCAACTAACTTGGAAACCAATCTCGACTACAAGGTCAAATTGCTCCGAGCATAAAATTCAAACTTCACACTTGTTCTCTCAGAATCCTCTGGAACCATTTCACAGGTTGCATATTTATGTCACATAAAATTGGTAAAAGTAAAAACGCACAAAGGAAGCAATAACAAGGTCAGAGACTAGCGGGTATAACTTACAAGGAAATCAGCGAAGAGCAGTTCCCAATTGAGGAAGGAATTTTGCCTCTCAATAAGTTTTTCTCTAGTATCAATTCTTCAAGTGATGTAGCACTTCCAATTTCCAAAGGGATACTGTCACTTAACTGATTTTTGCTCAAATCCAGGATTTCCAAAGTCTTCAATTGTCCGATGCTTGCAGGAATGCTGCCTGCAAGTGAGTTTCTTGACATATTCAATAACTGCAAACCACTAAAGTCCCCAACAGCTGGTGGAATTTCACCAGACAACTTATTCTGGGACACATCCAAAATCACAACCTTTCTACGAGAATTTTCGGTCGATGAAGCAAGAAATCCGTCCATGCTCCCACTTAAACTATTATCTGAAAACAGAACTTGATGTAAACCTAGTTTCAATATCCAAGAAGGAAGATTCCCAATCAAGGAATTATGGCTAATATCCAAAACCAGAAGGTTTAAGCAATTACTCATGGACTCAGGCACGCTTCCAGTGAATCCATTCTTGGACACATTTAGAACCTTCAATGACTGAAGCTTCCCTATAGCATCTGGAATTTGGCCACTGAAGTTATTTTCAGAAAGCTCCAAGGTCTCAAGGCTTCTCATTTCTCCAATCCATTCAGGCAGCTCCCCGGTAAATCCATTTTTACGCAAAACCAGGTCATTACACAAGACAAGCTTGTGCATTGTGCTTGGAAGCCCTTCAGAAAGAGAGTTTTCGCTCAAATCAACAGACCTTAACAATAAACAATCCCCAATTCCATCAGGAACACCACCAGTAAATTGATTATTCCTCAAACTTATGCCCCTCAAATTGCTCAAGCCATCAATGCCCTTCGGAATCTCGCCCTCCAATAAATTATCAGACAAATCAAGCAAACTAAGCCCCTGCAAAGACCAAAGCGCCGAAGGCAACACTCCTGAAAACTGATTGCCTGAAAAGTTCAGCGAAGCAAGGGTTGAGCAAGAGCCCAAACTCTCAGGAATTTGCCCCAAAAACTTGTTTTTAGCCAAAGAAATTGATCTTAAAGACCCACATTGCCTAAAGAAATCACTCTCGATTGGGCTGGAAAAGCTATTCTCACTCAAGTCCAGGACCCTTAAATTAGAAAGCTGGGAAAAACTGAGGTTTATGGATCCTGTAAGATTGTTTCTTACAAGTGATAGCTTTCGAAGAAATTGCAGTTGAAGGAGGCCTCTGCCTAATTTCCCTGAAAGCCCAAAGCCATCAAGGACGAGGTCAGAAACTCTATTGGATCTAGGATTGCATTTTACCCCAACCCAATTATTACAAGGGCTATCATCATCTTCATTCCAAGAACTTAATTTCCCTTCTGGATCCCGAATGTCAGACTTGAACACAACCAAGCCCAGAACATCATCATTTAAAGAAGGGCTCAAAGATTTCACCCAACTTGGCGAGGATAAACAAATGAAAAACAGAATGCAGACTAGAATTCTTCTCATTTTCAAGAGAGAATAGAAGAATGCATACAAAATTTAAGGCATTGTCTAGTTCAATGAATCTCAAGACACAAATTTTTCTTGTTTTGGGAAATGAAATGACGGATCGTCGACCACTTTCAAAATCTCAACGAAACGCTACTGCATAAAAAAAATTGATGGAAAAAAAATGTAGACCCATATACATACAAATAAGTGACGTATATCAGTCTTTTACTCCTTAACGGCTGGAAATTACAATCAACATAGAAGAATGAAGAACCCCTAAAAATAAAAGACAAAACCCGTAAAGAAACCAATCAAACAGCCACATTTAGCAAGAAAACACTCAAAAACAAGAGCTAATCCTTCTCAACCGGAACAGTCAAGAAAAACAAAGAAAAGAAAGGAAAAGTGGGGGGACAAAGTAAGTGATATAAAAGAGAATCGTTGCTTTAGACTTGAAGTAAAATAACAAGAATGAGTAAAAAGGATTTTTCGATTTGAGAGTGAAAATGTGAGCTCAAGAGTGAAAAGCTTCACTGGAACAATCTTCCGTAGAAGAGCCTCAGGCTGAGTTAAATCCCACCGGGAAGTAAGCTGGAAAAGTGAAACCGCCGGCGACGAGGGCTCTGTCTTTTTCTTTTTGTGTCCGAGCAAGGGTGACTTTTTATTAACGGCAAAAAGAAAAAGGAGAGATGGTAGTGGTTGGTACGCTTTTATTACGTCTGACACGTGGCGGCATCCAATTCAGTTTTACAAGGTCCTCATATGGGCCCAGGATAGCCCATTGCTTCCAGCACAATTCCTCCTGTTTGGCTGAAAATTACCTTTAAGCCTTCGTTTGATTCTAATTTTTTCTTCCAGCCAAAAAAAAAACAATTTTTTTTTTTAAAGAAAAACAAATTTGAAGAACAAAATTTAGATAGCCAGCTAAACTTCGAAAAAGGGGATTGGTGATCAATTTCATTCCAACTTTATAAAAATATGGTGTCTTTGACGGAGTTTTTCGTGTCCTACCCTTGCTTACAAACCTTGAAATGAGATACTTATGAAGGTTACATAAATATAGAAAATAAAGTAGGTGAGAATTGTGTATTAGTGAATGGTTATGATCGATTGCAAACTAAGAGGCATTGTCGTGTCATTAAAATTTTAGAATTTGGGTGTTGCTGTACTAAATTTTATTCACTAAGAGTGTGTTTGATTGACATGGAAAATATTACCTAGAAAAGAAAATATTTTTCATCTTTTGTGGAAAATAAAAACCACCTCTACCCAAGGAAAATATTTTCCATGGAAAAAAATAGCAATCAAACACTCCAAGTGAAAATTTGGATGGAAAATTTATATTTTCCATGGAAAATAAATGTAATCAAACACACCATAAATTTTAGAATTTGGGTGTTGCTGTACTAAATTTTATTCACTAGTGGCTCTTGAGCACTCTAATTTGTCTTGGTACTTTATTGAGTTGAACATGTTTTCTTGGAGTCGATTGGGCGACCCTAATGCAAAATTTAGCAATTAATGAAACATATAAAATGAAAAAAAGAATAATGTTATTCACAATTGCAAATAACCACCTATCATGTGTATGTCAAATAGATTGGTTATCATAATGAACGGCTACGAATAGTGTTATTGTGAAAAAGAATCTACATAAAATGAAATTACTTTTGAGAATTTGATTAGAGTAATAAAGGGGAAGATTTCGGACAGAATGCACCAGAAAAAGAGAATAGATATAAAGAAAGTTTGGTGGAAGAATGAGATTGGTGGGTGGGCAATAAATAAAGTTTTACAGAGGCAGAACTTCACTTCTGTCTTTTATCTTTCATCCCTTTTTTTTTTTTTTTTTTTTTTATCGGAGGTGTCCCAGCTTACGCCAGACTATATCCTCGTCCCTGAACCTCCGACCCCTCAACTGCTCAGGGAGGTAAATCGCAGGTTGTGCCCTTATTGGTTCCCAGGTTCTCACATGACTTTTACTCCTTCTCCAGAGGGAGCCTCCTCCATGGTTATTACATCACCAAACTGCTCCAATCTTTCCTCTGGTTATTACATCACTTGGCTGCTCCAACCAGAAATGGAACTCTCCACGCTTGGTTCCAGAGCCTCCCAATGTGACTGTTCCGCCAACTTGGATGTGTCCTGGGGCATCTTTCATCTGCTTTAATTTCATTGACAGAGGTCCCTCAAACTTTTGTCTCCAAAATTCAAATTCCCGTGATTACCCAAGATTTTTCCAATTGTAACTAGATGAAATTTCTAAATTAGGTAGCGATAGTCCGCGTCACAACGTCTCGCCCCATAGTCGGCTGACGCATTGGTCAATGACAATAGCCATTAGTTTAAGTAAAAATTTGAACCTTTAGCTTGACCCATCTGGTAAGATAGATTGGACAAATAACGTAACTTTTTTTTTTATAATATAACAAAAAATTAAAAAATAATAAGCTTTTGAGGAAATTAGGCCTTTGACGGCATAAGGTCTAGCACAATGCCACAATAAAAACACAGGCTTTGTGGAACTTTAGCCCTTTTTTTATCTTCATTTTGGAGGAAATAATGCATTTTAAATAGTAAATTGATGAAAAATGCATAATTAAAAATTAAAGAAAAGTTTTGAATTTACGTGTAATATTATTTTATTAAAAAATGTGTGGTTGAAAATAAGTTTCGAAAAAATGAATCTTTGAAAGAATAAAAATCAAACAAGGGCTTAATGAATTAACAAAGTTATTTTTAGGGCTGCACAAAAAATCATGAAATCGCAAATCGAATCAAAATTTTTGAGTTGAAACCGTCGATTTGGGTCCACGTGGACCCGTGGTTTCTTTTTCCTCAAAAGAATCGAACCAAACCGTTTTTAAATTTTTTAATTAAAACATTAAGTTTATTAACTTAAAAATTTTACAGTTTTCGCTTTCAAAAAAAAAAAATATATCAATTTAGCAATACAAATTATAATCAGCCTATTGAAATAATTATAGAAAGTAAATTAGATTCATCACTACTAACTTATGATTTAACAAGTTCACAACACATGTTCTCACCAAATTTCTAAACTAAACTAAAATCATTCCAAAATAATATGAAATGAAAAAAAGAACATATATTTTCAACCATCCAAATTATAATTCAACAAAATTACATTAGTAAATCACGTCCAAAGTTTTAAAAGCTCTAATATAAACTCTCATTTTTCTAACATTTGACAATTGTTTGCCAATGCTGAACGAATCACCAATCGCTTTAGCCTGTTAGTCTACTAATTTCTACTTGAATCGCTTCTTTCTTTCTTCTCTTTCGCTAAGTCTCAAATTATTATTCACGTCATTTTTTCATTGTTTTTTCTTTTATTTGTTTTTTTAACTTATTATACACTCGTAAGTTGTAGTTTGGATAGAAAAATTATTATTTGTGTGCTTAGATGATTGATGAACTTGTTTGTAATTTGAAAAGAACGAAGCGTATTGATTTTGTGAGAATGTTAAAGTTCCCTAACTAGTACTACTACCTTCTATTTTCATAAAGTAGTTAGAGGATAAAATTCTCCAATTCCAAATAAGTTGAAACTCTATCAATTTATGTACAGCTAAACATACCTCGTTTTGTCTTTATTTAACATCTCACTAGCAATTATAATAGCAAAATTTAACTCTACCTTTAACAACACTATGAATGTCAAACAGGAAAAGGTAAATAAGCCCCCATTTGGCTCCAATTAAATTCTAATTCATTTTTCTCCCTCCTATTTTCAATCACAAAATTTTTCATAAAATAATATTACACGTAAATCGAAAATTTTTCCTTCTCTTTCAACCACTTGTTTTTCAAAAAAAATACTATTACACTCATTTTCATTTCAAAAAATGGGGGCCAAACGTGAGCTGAAAATGAAGAAAGATGTATTTGTTTTGTTAGCATCTCTTAGCAACCAATTTTGAAATAATTTATTCATGAATTTTATCGTAAATATAAATATAATTTAATATTTAACATTATTAGTTCTCGTTTAAATTTATATTTAATTTATATTAAATACATTACTATAATGTCAGTAGGTAAATCTTGGATTAAAATTGAATCAAATCGCAAATTATTGTTTGATTTGGTTTGGTTCGAAAAATAAAATGGTTTGATTTTAAAAATTTTCAAACCTAATAAAATGATTTGAGTTGAAAATATTACACAAATCGTTCAAATTGAACAATGTCCACCCCTAATCTCATTTTTAATTTTTGGAGGATTAGAAAAATGTGAAAAACTTGTGGCTGCCACGATTCGAGCCCAGGTCTCCACGGCCACAACGTGGAATTCTAACCACTAAACTACAGTCACTTAATGGTTGATACTTTTAATTTATTATCTTTATCTCGTACAAAATTGCAGGCATCCGTATTCCAGGTCAATGGATTAAACGGAAAACCCCATTTTTAGGGTTTTAGCAAAAGGGTTAGAAAAACAAAGAAATCTTGAAGAAACCGCAACACAGCACACGATCAAAGAAGGATGAAATCAATTAGAGCCATCACTACACTTGTGCCCAGGTATTCTTCCTCAAGCCCCTTCAATTATGATACTTCCTTTTCCATTTTTTAGTGTGTATTTTTCATCAAATAACAAACCATTGCATAGGCTTCAGGTGGCACTGAAATCTGCTTCTCTCAGAAACTATGCCAGTCATGCTAACCATTTGAACAAATTGAACGCAGCTGGTCAGTATATATATCATTCGTGTTCAGGGTTGCTGTGAGATTTTTAAATGTTGATTGGATTTTAGTAATTGTAGATTTTGATTGTCGTTGCAAGGTGTTCCGGTTTTGTTTAGACTGTTGGGAAATGGACAAACTGTAAATTGTTGGTCAGAATTGAAAGTTTCTGAGATCCATGGAGCGAAATTTGTGAGTCCTAGCTATGCTAGGTCCTTGGCATCTAGGGCTTCGGAATCCACACAGAAGTCATCGGAGGTTTAATTTTGAATGATTTTCCTCTTCCAGTATTATTTAGAATTGCATTGGAAAATTGAATTTATTTATTTTTTGTACATTTGGTTGCCAACAATTTTGGGTTACATTTGCTTAAGTACTTCTAATTGCATGTTGATAGCTTAATAACCCTTGTAACGTAGAGACAATGATAAGTACTGACTGCTTTGTGTCCGCTTAACTTTGAGACTTTCTTCATTTACCTTTCATTTTTCTTTTCGGATTGAAAGTGCTAAACTACATTTTTGTGGCCCTGTATCAGTTATTCACAGCTTTCCACAGTAGAACGATAGAATTACATTGGCATAAGTAAAATTAATGATCACATTGTTTTGATATTTTCCAAGGCGTATGCCTTGAGGTATGTCTCACATGAGGCTTTCATTAAGCACCTCAAATCCTTCCCCTGAGCAACACCATCCTCACCTTTGCAACCTTGAATTGACAATTGACTACAATAGGCAGTAAAGGTCATCAATTTATGCTTCACAGTTTAGATTCCTAAACCACCTTGCACTTTTTTAGTTGTCAACTTCAGCGATTATTTTGATGCTATAGAAAAATAAAAAGGCGAGTAGCAAAATGTTATCTTGCCATCAGATTAGGAGCAATGTCTCATGTTGACTGGAAAGGAACTCTTAGTTCGATATCTTGTGCTATTTTCCTAAAATTTGGTGGCAATAGGAGTAACCTGGGCCTCTTTGTTTTGGCTTAAGAGCTCCAGTTTAGTCAACATGAAATGATATGCAAAGCCCCATCATAGGTGACTGGGAAATTTTTAGTCCCTTCTTAGGTAATCTTTAATGTAATTTGATGTAATTGTTTAAGGACATTCATGGTAGTTGCCAAGCTATTTGAGGCACATGAATTGCCAGTTGGCCCTTTATAGATCCTTAAGATAATTGCTACTGTATAATCACACCTAGTGCTAATTGCCTGGCATCACTTCTGCAAAATAAATGCTCAATGCATGCACCTCACACAACACAACCATGTGCAATCTGAGCTTGCTTTGCTTCATGCAATTCATCAAAGCAACCCAACTCCAGTAGCAATTGTCACTGAGCATGATCACGCTGCACTAGTGACCTAGACAGGATTTATATGCTGTCCTGTACGACTATGACTGATCATGTGCCTTACAACACTTAGCATTTACCAGTTGCACCTCGTGGATAATGTCCTCTTGTTCATTTTAATTGTCTGCCAAATGGTACGACTTCAACCTAGGAGTGAGTCAGAGATGAATATTTCATGAACGCTACCTTTTGTATTTAAACGAAGTTCCCTGTGTTGCCAAAAACATTATTTATGTTATGATTATAATCTGAACTTGACTTATGTTGGTGAGCAAAGATTTAAATGCTTTATTCTATCTTCACAGGCTCGAAGAGACGTATCTAAAGTGGAGGATCCATTTGATGCTCCAACATACAATATTCCTGAGAAGCCAGTTACTTTTACAGAGGGAGCTTCTTACAGTATTGTCATCCTTGCTGGGCTTGGAATTGCTGCTGCTGCAGGATATGGTGTTTTCAAGGAACTTATATTTGAACCGAAAGAGTAAGGATTTACTTCTAAGAGCTAATCATGTCATACATGATTAAACTCTTATTGATGAGGCCTCTAAAATATTCCATTTTACCGCTCTTCTGCAGATACAAAATATTTGGGAAAGCTCTGGAGAGAATTCAAAATGACAGTCAGGTTTCATCAAATATTATTTAATCTTCTCTTTATGATTTCTTGGGGATCTTTAATTTGTGATCACTGGCCTTATATTGAACATTGATCTATCATGTTGTATTTGGGCATGAAAACGGAAGGTGATATCTTGATAACAACAGTGACTTCCAGCGTCATTAACTTCATAGACATCTGAGGCTCGAGACAAAAGAAAGTTAATGGTCATTGGTCCCTACCTCTGGCATAAACCTTCTAAGTGAGAGAGTGGCTGTTTTAGGGTGAAAATTAACTACTTTTTACTTTGAAAAACTAAGAAAGATGGTTGGATTCTGTAGTAACTAGCTAGGTTTTCTTTCAGTGGGGTCATTTTGTAACTTCCCAACATGACAATTAGGGGCACTGTGCTATTGAAAGGGGTATTTATAAATCGAACTCTAAAATGGTTTTGCTTGAAAATGTTGTGGTTGTTAATTTAAGTAAAACAAAGTGTACCTATGCATGAAGCACTTGTGTCTGTAGGGTATCGGATTTGACTTGGAACGATGCTAATTTGATTTGTATGTTTCGTTATAATGCATGAAACAAAATGTATGATAAGTCAAATATCTAATCATTTGATGGGATGATTTAATTGACTTTAAAGTTTGTGATCAAATATTTCAAACTTAAAGTCATGGAACTATGGTGGCATCAAGCACAACAATCTTTCTTGGCTATGTTCCATGGAGAATAATAGAAAAGAAAAGAAAACCGTTTGAGCCAAATATAAAGTTAGTTATTGAGTACTATTATAGAGGTCTATATGTATACAAGCATGTGAAATCCATGCGTCTTGCTGCTAAACGCTTCATGGCCCAAATTTTTGTTTTATGGTGATACTCTTTCATATAATACCCCTGTTTGTTTGATAGAAATTATAATCTAAATTTTTATTAAAATCAAAGTCAACAATTAATTTTCAACCACGTATTTCATGGGGCCACAACTTTTTGACCACGCATTTCATTAACTTTTATCAAAATCTGCTAAAAATCTAAATTTAGGGGGGCGTTTGCTGATCTGATGCAAGTGCTTGATTAGCGAGGATGTTTGTTCTGGTCTTGTCCAGGATTACCTTCTCCGATGAGCTTTTCTAATCCCGTTGATCTTGAGATGGCTAAGTCCGATTCGAGGAGCTTCTCCAGTTGACACCTTTCGCCCTTCATCTCCTTCTAATCAAGCTGAGCTGCTCCGTGGGGGTCCACCTTGGGGGGTTCGGGCGTTTTCTAGGAGCAGAAGGAACCGCAAAAGTTTGTGGATCCCTGCTTGAAAACTTCTGTCACCCGGACTGAGCATATCCAAGAAAGACACAAGTGTCCCACATTCCGAAATGAAAGAAAACGGCTCTTTGGAAAACAAACCTCCCAAAAAGAAGTTTCAAATCTTGTTTTTCATTTTTGTAAAAATAGAAATGAAAAATATAGTCGTTATGGGTCCTACACAAGAGATAGAAATTCAAATTTGGTGGCTTGTTGTGATGGATAACAATCGTATTTTTCATTTTAATGGGGAAAAAATGAGTAACAAACAGGGGCTTAATCTCCACCAAACAGGGGTAAAATATTTTTTGCTGTTTGACCACTTGTATCTATTTAAGTTTTCACCTCCATTACAATATCAATAGATCAATTATGACACCTATGAGAGGGATATATGTACTAAACAATGTGAATGTGTGTTTGGGCGAATACACATATATATGCTAAATGCTAGTCATTGAGATGAAGTTAATACAGTAAATCATGCTGATGAATGTTAGCTAACTGTTGATTCTTCGGCATCCAGCCCATGTTTACCATGAAGACGGTAGAATTTCAGGTTTTAATGTCACGGGACCTGTGTGCTTCCCATGACATTTTTTGTAAATTTCATTTCTGCTGGCATAAAATGCAGTCTCTTTTGCCATTAGATGAAGAATATCTAAAAATTGAAGATAGTTTTGATGTTTGTGGGTATTGTGATTGCATTTCTTGATTGTGATAGTTTAAAAACTTTCATTGCACCAGGTTAGGGTGAGAATTGGGTCCCCTATTACTGGCTATGGCCAAGAAAGCAGGAATCGTGCTGCTCGTCAGCGAATTCCTAATCGAACATGGACTGATGAGGATGGCAATGAGCATGTTGAGGTAACTTAGGATTAATACCGCGGAATTATGCTCATTTTATCGTTAATCTCATAACCATCTGGTTTCACACGATTTCCAATGCTTGCTGAAGTAACGAATATTTCTACAAAGCCCCACCCCCACCCCAGTAGTAACTGGCGTGTAAAGGTTTGGTTTCCAAGTATTATGTACAAAGACACTTAAATGAATTAGATTTTTAGGTAAATTTCTACATTCGTGGGCCACATGGAGCTGGCAAAGTTGGTGCTGAAATGTTCAAGGATAAGGTCGATAAACAGTGGAAGTTTATCTATCTGATTGTTGAGATCAAATCCCCATCCCCAGCGCAATTTCTGCTCGAATCTTATGTCCCTGCTTGAAATTTATACGTATACAATGGAGTTGCTCCTGTCTGCTCTATGCTCACGAGGAAATGAATGCTCTAGCCTTTAGGTCCTCGTTTATTTTCTGCTTCATCTCAATGCCAGGTTAGTATGAATTGTTTAATCAATGTTTTGATGAATTGTAAACTGTAACCATAAGGGCATGTTGTACAGTTTGCTGCGGGAATAATGAGATTATCTATTCTTAACATTGTGTTTGGAGATAGTTTATGTGGCAGTATTTTGCCGTCTCTTTTCCTCCTCACGTAATGTAATGTTATGAAACTTCAAATATAATTCTGTTCTTAAAAATGATGGTGCATATTGATTGATCTTTAAAAGAATAGGATATAATTATATGAAGTAACCATGAGCATGGGCTTGCAGGGCTTCAATGCCAAACCTGACGGACCACCGTTAAAGGTGGACCAACTGGCGTTGGACAATGCCGATCCTATGCTGCTTTTTTCCTAGTTGGGTTACAACGGGCTTAGTTTGACACTGCCGCTATTCACTGCACAAAATTGCTGTGAATTAGGCAACTAGACAGTGGCGAGAATAACTGGGTGCCTAGTAGAGTCGTGGTAGGATTGAGTCCTGAATTCTAAGTTGGCCGTCCCATTTTCTTTGCCCCAATCAAATCTCGACACATCACTACAATTTCGACGTGTCAAATTCCCAATGAACCTTGCTACAATTTTTTAGTTGTCACTACTAAAATCTTTTAACACAAGTATATTGAGAAACAACGAAAGTGAGATAGGTGAAAACTAGGTGGGAGGGATTGTGTCTGCTTAAATGTTTTCATTTTCTTGTAGTGTTGTGATTTTTTTCCAAAACTAAAAAATATGAAAAAAGATTAGATTTTTATTTGGGAGATCTGCATTAACAGGACAAAGTGAAACCGTAACTCTTGCTCCTTTAACGTCAGCCATAAGCGTTATCACACTATTTTATTCGTTGTCCTGAAAGGGCAAAAAAGATGGGGCCTAGGCTAGGCTGGCCTAGGCGTGAGGTATGAAGAAAAGCCTAGGAGGCAAAAGGCACGACAAATGTGAGTCTAGGCATTATTCCCCAATTTGATAGATATTTAAATCAATTTTTTAGTAAATTTTGATAGAAGTTGATGAAGTGTAATTGAGAAGTCGTGGGACTCATCAAGCATGTGATTGAAATGAATTATTAATTTTGATTTAGATTAAAATCTAGATTTAATCAATATCAAACATGTGGGGTTTATTTTTTAAAATATATATATTTTTCATTTTCTTATTTTTTAAAGTTAAATAAACTAATTAAATAAAAGGAATTATTATTAATAATTATAGAATAATCAAAATTATATTAAAAAAATGAAGATGTTCGTAACACTTGAGTCTTTTATTTTACTGTCTTGTTACACTTTAAGCCTTTTAGTCGCTTAATTCTATTTACAAGCTATTAAGATGAGTGACCAATCCCTTTCGAGCACAGAAGAGAACTTTCGTCTCATCATTCGAGCACAATTTTATTATCAATGGTGACTCTTGAATTTAAGACTTTTGTCTTGTCAATTATATATTACTACCACTTGCTTGAGAGGTCAAAAAATGGTACAAAGTGAAAATCAAAATATAACTTGAAAAGCTTAGGAAAATATGTATTCGCAAATTGTGTGTATCTCATTCGTTGGAGTTGCTCTATCTAGTCTTGTCGATAATGATGCTAGCATAATACGAAGAAGATGCCGGAGAATAAAAGTATACTTCGTGGGACCAAATGATTGTACAAAGTAAATAAAACGAATAATGAAAAGGATTCCTTTCATTTTCTTCCACTAAGATCGAATTTCTTGGTTTCTTCCTAAAACTTCGAACTAAGCTGAGAAATTCCAATTGAATAAAGGTAGATATAAACAAGAAATAAAATCAGTAAAAATGCTTGTGGTGGTGGTGATGATGTCTATGATCATCCCATCTAAAGCATTGCAACACAGGATAACAAGCAACAAACAAGCATCTCCCCATCAATCGGAAGGCGGACGAGACTGACATACAAGGGCAGCAGCAGCATGCCAAGAGTGGATCATTATGTGGGCCACCATCTACATGGTGGTGGTCGTGGTCGTGATCGTGCTTCACCATATCTATAAAACCTGATCAGAACATGACAGTCAATAAAAAATTAGACCCCAAAATAAAAAAGCAAAAAGAAAAAATGAATTCATTTCTTTAATATGGTATCAAAACTAGAAAATATTTAAGGTTTCCGAAGATTATTGGCTATGTTGGGAAGTTGAATAAATGAATCTGACTTGTCCGAAAACAAAACTTACCTTGTTGAATTCCTGAAGATC